ACACTCTGGGTTTGGGGTTTTTTCCTGAGGGGAAGCTGGACTGGAAGACCTTAGCTAGCACGGCCTGAGGACCTCTGGATGAAGACGCAGAAGAAGCTGTCACCTTTGCAACCAGAACAGTGTCACAGCTGTGTTGGAAAATTCAAACAGGCCCCTCCCTCAGCCACACACCTTCCAGGAAAGAGTCCTCAGGAGCAGCCGTATTAAAGGGTCTAGAGCAGGGCTGAGGGGGCCAGGCTTGCCCTCTGGTGGGTTTCCATTTGGAGAAATTGCCCGAAGGCCTATATAGTATGTGGCTCAATTGGATATAAACAGCTATTTGTTGTCATTTTTATTGCACGAAGGATCTTTCTGGAATATCTTTCCTACTTATCTACTGTTTCCAGAAGAATAAGTTATGGGTGAAAACAGATACAGCTGACATTTATTTTCCATTCCACCAGAACTTAGTTTCTCCCCCTTTCTTGATTTCTTATACAGAAATTTGATTTGATTTTAGTGCTTAAAATTAGCCACCACTTGTCGGAAATATAAACATCTCATAAATTGAGAGACGGGAGTAATTTGGTGAGGAGGCAGAGAGCCAGAAGGTTCCCGTTGCCAGGCTGTCTGCCCTGAGCGGTGCCTGGCTTCCTGGCCAGGGCAGCGCTGGAGGGGAGCGCGGGCCAAACCTCTCCTGGTGCAGACGGGGAAACGGAGGGCCGCGGGGAGGAACTGGCCCAGGCCGCCTCCTGATCTGGTGGCCGGGCCTGCCTTGCCATCCCTTCTCCAGGAGGAGGGTCTCGGAGGCCAAGAGGGAGCCCAGACGTGGCCCAGAACTGCCAAGGCCTGGACATGATGTCCTAAATAGATGAGGGTGATCACTAGGGAGGTTCTGATCTGGATGTCAGTGAGGGGGTGGGGTGGAGGTGGGGCTGGTGGGATCTGCAGTTACAAAGAGGTTTGAAACTTATTTCCTAGCCCTTGCATATGACAGGGCTTGGGTCTTTGCCCTAAACAGTTCACTGGGTGGAAAAATAGGGGTTCCTTTAACTCTTCCCTGGGGAGAGGGCTGAGGTTATGGGGGCTAGTCCAGTCCCAGGAATCCCAGGGCTTCCATGGCTGGTAGAGGAGAGCTGGTGTGTGCGTGGAGGGTGGTCACCAGGCGGCGGGAGGGGTCTGCTCCCCCTAAGGCTGTGTGCTGAAGTTTCTCCTCATCCTCACGTCAGTGGTGGGAGGTGGACTGGCTTCCATCGAATGTTTTCGTCCAGAGGTGGGAAATGAATATCCTGCTTGCTCTGCAAGGCCAGACCAGAGGCCCAGGGACTTGCAGTCGGGACTACGAAAGAATGCTCCAAGTGGGCCCTCAGGGCAGGAGCAGGGCCCGAGCGGCCTGAGGTAATAGAGCTTAGGTCAAACAGCCACACAGAGCTGGGCTGTTGTTCTAGTGCTGTCCCTTACTTGCTGGGTGACTCTGGGCAAGTTACTTAACCATTCTGAACCTCTGTTTCCTCATCCATGAGATGAGTCTAATTTTTTTTTTTTTTTTTTTTGCGGTACGCGGGCCTCTCACTGTTGTGGCCTCTCCCGTTGCAGAGCACAGGCTCCGGACGCGCAGGCCCAG